CCTATTCAAGCCCAAATTATGCCCAAAGAAATCTGTTAGTCTTTAAGGTGCCACCAGACTCCTTGTTGTTTTGTGGATACCGACTAGCACAGCTACCCCCTGATATTATATAAAGTGGGCATTTTTTGAATAGTTGACTTTTTAATCATGTTCATCAAGACTCACATTGGTGCAGAGGTTTAGATGGGGAAAACTACAACATGGTTGCATGACTAATTTTTACAGCCTTGTGCAAAATCCCCTAGGAACACAGCTGGATATAACTCCTTAGTAGTTTGCTTGCCAATTGAAACACCTCCTAGCATCATTCTGTTAGAGGAACATGAAAGCATTGCAAGCTCAGACTGCAGATAAGGTATTAAGTAAAATGGTTGGTACATCATTTTCTACTATTTTATTATAATTTGAAAGTAAATGTTTTACATAAAAACAAGCAACAATATAAAAGCTTAGCTCAGAAGTTAACATATCAGATCTCATCCCATATTAACCTACATTTATTAGCATAACCAGTGGGATTTGAAAAATGCCATTTGACTTTGTTCCAGCTTTATGCATCGATACATATCATTTGAAAGTTATTTAATTAGTAGCATGAAAATTAAAGATTAACCTTTGTCATCTGAACCGCTTAGCACTTGCAAAGTTTGTATTTTCAAAGGAAACATGGGATTTTTCTCTTGCACAAAATCAAAACCATTTAGAAACTTAAATGCAACCAGTTCTTCAGACACCGCTTTAGCATGCATGAGAAAAGTGCTATTTAATTTCACACTCAACTAATCCTTTAATAATTTCTTTCAGACAGAATATAAAAGGTTATTATTAATTCCTTAATAAAATCAAAATAGCAGATATGTCTTTAACCTTGCACCAGATGCAATATTTTTTTTTTCCAGAGTACACACCAACAATCATTGTAAATGGCAAATTGTCCTTTGGGAATTACTCAGGACTTCCCCTTCCTCTGCATCACATCTCACTGGGGGAAATAAATATAGTAGGAATTCAACTGATTAAGCAGGGGTCGGCAACCTTTCAGAAGTGGTGTGCCGAGTCTTCATTTATTCACTTTAATTTAAGGTTTCGCGTGCCAGTAATACATTTTAATGTTTTTAGAAGGTCTCTTTCTATAAGTCTATAATATATAACTGAACTATTGTTGTATGTAAAGTAAATAAGTTTTTTAAAATGTTTAAGAAGCTTCATTTAAAATTAAATTAAAATGCAGAGCCTCCCAGACTGGTGGCCAGGACCCAAGCAGCGTGAGTGCCACTGAAAATCAGCTTGCGTGCCGCCTTTGGCACATGTGCCATAGGTTGCCTACCCCTGGATTAAAGCATAATTCAATCAGATTTTTTTCTTTTAAAAACTGATATCAAAAGTTTTCAAGAATTGAATTCACCTTAAATGTAAAGCACAACTACAATAAAATAATTACAAAGAGACTACAAAGTAAAATTCCTGGTCTACATCAAATTGTCAAAAGTTCAGATCCATAATTTAGAGATGTAATTGCATTTTTCTTTACTAAAGAAAATTAAAATCTATCACACACTTTTGAAAGACCAGACCTTTGTTATTTCATTCTACACTCAACCCATTGTGTTTATGTGTTGCAGATAATCTTTCATTGATCTGAGGTCCCTTGATAGGAGACCACTTCAGTTGCTAAACCGGAACACAACAAGGCAAATGAAAGATGGCATTTCACCCTTAGCTCCTAATTTATTATGCCACGGCCTAATCCTGAAGCCCATTCATTCAAATAGTTTATAATGCACCATAAATATGACATCTCAAAGCACAGTTTTCATCAGCTTATGACCCTAACATTGTCTGAATATATTTGTGTATGAGTACTAATTTCTGTTGTTATACATATGCCTTAAAAAGGAAGCATATATGGAAATGTATTCAAGTGGAGTATCTTTAAAATCTGTTGTCCGTTGTAAAATCATTGCAAATAGTCCACACAGTCTATTATTGTGCAAACACTGGGTTAGATTGTTTTAAAGATGTTGGGTGTTTAAACAAATTAATTCCAAAGACCAACTCAGGAAAGGATTAACCTTCATGTTTCAGGGCAAAGGGAGGTTGTGGAATCTCCATGATTGGGGATTTTTAAGAGCAGGTTGGACAAACACCTGTCAGGGATGGCATAGCTAATACTTAGTCCTGCCTTGAGTGCAGGGGACTGGACTAGATGACCTCTCGAGGTCCCTTCCAGTTCTATGATTCTATAAGAAGTCAATCACTAACCAGAGTTAGGAGGACGCCTTCACTGTGGGTAGATCATTCCGTAACAGTCCACTATTGTGTTTCTTGTTCCTGCCACTGATGCAGCTAATCCTGACCATGATCAGAGAGAGAGTACAGGACTGGATGAACCTCTGATCTGGCAGGGCAATCCAAAGATACTAAACATGGGCTGTTCAAGTAAAAATACAAATTTATAAAAATGTGTACGTAAAAGGTCCTTCTGGAAATTTTGTTTTCCCAAATGGAGCTGGTATGGTCTAGAATTGGGAATTTATAAAAAATGTTTATTATGGAATTTTTTTAAAATACCTATTTTCCCCAATAGACCATATAACACTATTGTGAATAGCTACAGGAGTTCTCTTTTAGCTTATATAGGAGACAGCTTTGTTTTGGGATCTAAAAGAACGTGCATGCGTAAGAGAGAGATATTAACTGCACCCCTTGGCAAATGCAAATTTGTTTCAGATTAGTGCTTGAGCAGTGAGGTTACCTGTTGCACATGGATTTATTACAAATCAGAGTGTGTATATTCAATTTTTAAAACAGTCTTTTGATACCCTCCACAGTTCTGAGCTCCTGAGGATCCAGTCCTAATGTGATAAGTTTGTCATTTAAGTGACAATGGGCCCAATTCTTCTGCTTACACCTGTTTTACATTGGTGTAACTCCATTTTCTTCTATGGAGCAAGTCCTAAATGTGAGAGGAAAATCAAGTTGTATGAGTTCATATGCTCCACAGAAATTCTACAAAATCCACATTCAGCATTTGATGTATTGAGTAACTCACGCTATTGGTAATGGAAATTACACTTAATTCTCTGCCATTGCAGGAACCTCTGATACTGGTGCACCTTGGTTCCTCCCATTCTCTCCCTGTGGCATGTAATAATTGAGTATCTTCTGGGCTGTAATACTGTAGTGTAATTTTGGTTGTTTGGTTTAGTGTGTGGGTGCTGGGCAGGGCTGGCTCCAGGCACCAGCCTACCAAGCACGTGCTTGGGGCGGCACCTGGAGGGGGGCGGCGCTCTGGCCGGCTGGGGAGAGCAGGGCCGCGGCCGGGCTCACCGCCCTCTTCCCGGGGCTCTGGCCAGCTGGCCGGGGAGAGCAGGGCCACCCTCCCCTGGCGCTCCGGCCAACCGGGGAGAGAAGGGCTGCGGCCGGGCTCTCCGCCCTCCTCCTGGCGCTCCAGCCGGCTGGCCGGGGAGAGCAGGGCCGCCCTCCCCTGGCGCTCCGGCCAACTGGGGAGAGCGGGGCCCCGGCCGGGCTCTCCGCCCTCCCCCCGGCGCTCCGGCAGGCCGGGGAGAGCGGGGCCCCGGCTGGGCTCGGCGCCCTCCCCTGCTGCGCTCCGG